CACGCCTGTACAGCCGTACAGCGATAGTGTCGTACACTTGGCATGCCTCTACAGCGGTACGGCAGTACAGTCGTACACTCAGCACACCTGTACAGCACCCTCGGACGTGTGAGGTCCGGACTGGTTGCCCCTAACAGTTAATGTACGGGGGGGATTCTGCTCTCAAACCCACTGGCTGCAACCCCCCTCCCTGCAGAAGCGGTCTAGTTCCTCCTGTTTGTCTGCGCAGTGGATCTGCCGCAGCGGCAGATTGAACATCCGGCAGCAGGAGATGTCTCAGACCCAACCCGAGGGCTGCGATCTGCACAGCATCGTGTCCACGTACAAGAGCACAGGCTGAGCACGGGGTTTCTCTGGTGGAGGATCCCTTCGGCATATGCAGGTGTGAAAGCAGAGAGAGGCTGAGAAACGCTAAAGATATGAAATGATTCCACCATAACTGCAGGGGGGAAGGGGGTGGGAAAATTCTTGAGCTGCTTCATATAGTAAAAATGATTTCTAATTTATGTGCCAGCCTGTTTGTCTTGTACTGGGAAGAACGAGGAAAACATATTTCTGTTCTGATAACAAGGAAATCACTTTCCTCCTAAATGCCATGGAGGAGTTGTCCAAAAATAGAATCACAGGGAGGCCCTGAAGCCCTTCAAAAATCATTCCTGGGTACACAAAGGATTGTTTCCTACCCCAGAGGACACGCAGCTCCCCCTGCGTGGACACAAAGCAGTCCAGGATGCTACCAAGAAGTGGATGAATTCTTGGAAGGACACTGCAGACAACTGAAGCAGCATGAGGAAGTCACCCTGCTGTGCTCAGGGACAGGCGCCACCTCCTGCGCCTCCACGGGGCACGGACCTTCCGTCAAGATCTCCAGTGCCAGGACTGGCAGAGGAAGAGATCTCATGACAAGCGACGGAGAACAGCTGTATTTATTCCGATCGCCTGTCTCTCATCCCTAAAGCTCACCCTGCAGCTTCAGGCTTCAATTTTTACACTCTATTACAAGTTCTTTCACCACAAAACAGTGAACTAACCCCACACTACCTGGAAAATCATCCTTACATGTAGTTAAGTTACAAAAGACAATTCTTTTTTATGCTGCCCTCTAGATTTGGGGGGGAAAAACATGCTGACATTGAGCACGGAAGGGAACAGAAATTATTCTGCCCTTACGGCCCTGCTGGTTTCAGCATTACTTACAGTAACTGCAGCTCCCATCAGGCCCTGGACAACCGCTTCTCCAGTGGACTGTACCTAGAAGACACAAGGAGAACACGACCTTTTGCTTTCTTCTGCAGTTACACTTGTGGCCACCCAGACACAGAGCCGTAACGCACAACAAACGTGTATTAGGTGCTGACAGAAGCCACGCACTGCAGACAAATGATAGCTGGAGATAAGAAACATGGAAGAGATTTCCTGGGAAGATATGGCTTCTAACCATTGGGCCAGTCTGATGAAGGGGGCACCTACCTGTCATTTTACTAGAAAATACGTAGCATTTATTGATGTTGAACCGACAGCATTTATGCAGTCACCCACCAGTACATGGTGGTGTCTCAGCAGACGTGTGGTGAAAAAGCCAAGTCTGTCTGCACGTCTGTTTGGGGAGGAGGGGGACGCTGCACGTATACCTTGCCCGTAACGTTACCTGATTAGCTGTATTGTCCATGTTCATGGCGTCAGCTACTCTGTTTTCCAGGAAGCGCCAAGTCTCCTCGAAGTCAGGGGATGAATCTTGCATCATCACCAGTTCGGTGGTGTTGTAGATGCCAGTGAGCACAGCCCGACGGGTGTACCAGTTAAACTGCAAGGGCATGAAATGAGAGAGAGAGAAAGGTGTGACCTGAATGCAGCTCAAGAATGCAGCTCACGACAGCAGACCAGAGAACAGCAAAGGAAAATAGCACGCTGATGGCACATTCCTTGCCCGCTTCAACTGTGTAACTCGTCTTGGTGATGCAGTGGGCTGCCAGCCAACACCGACATCTGACAGCACAGCTGCTCCCGTGGCACTAGACAGAGGTCACAAGTACGGTGTCTAAAACTGCTGAACAGAATCCCCACCACCTGCTTCTGGTCGCAAAGAGGCACCTGCAGCAGGCAGCAAGGAATTCTCCCTTGCCCAGCCCACCTGTGTGCATTGTGCAAGAGTTCATCTTTGCTTTACAGACTGCTGGCAGGCAATGCAAAGCTCCGATTCTAGATCTGATTAGATGAGATAAGGCTATATTTAGTTCTGAACTTGAGCTGCAGTTTGCATCAGACACAAGCATGAAGAAAGGGAACGAACAGAGGACAGAACTGTGCAAGACATCACACAGAGATACACCTTTCCCAAATCCTATCATTGAAATACCAGCACTGCCTGCTGAATCACTAAATGCATCGGCACGCTGCTGGTAGCAACGCTGTAGGATGTGTTATAACAATAGGTTATGCAACACAAAGATGCACAAATAACTCAAAGTCTTCAGTTTTTCCAGTTGTGCTTGCACCACTGGCAGACAAATATATATAAACATTTTTAAAAACGAGTCTTCAGCTTCATTTGCTGCTATTACAGTGATTAAACTATTTGGGTATCTGGAAAAAAATACTGGTTGTTCCATTCACAATTACAGAGCAACAGAGAAACGAAAATGCTGGCCTTGGCTTTGAAAACAACAGTTGGCTGGAAAGCTCTACCACCGGCACCACGATGTACAAACTTGGAGGAGAGGAGAAGCATGAGGGACGTTGCCACTTGCAGCTGGATCTCTCAGGTGCCTGAGACCAAACTCTTTCTGTTGATTCTCCTCCTGCTCAAAAAAACCACCTGAAGGGGTCTCTGAGACATGGGCAGACTCTACCTAGCTCCTGGTGCTGTGAAGAGGGCACCACTGCCAGTGACATGAAATCCCTTTACTGGGAAAGAGGAGAGGGGGCTCAGCACCACAGCTTCCCAAGGGAACTCTGGTAACCGGTCAGAAGGTGCAAACCAAAGACAAACTTCAGAACCTCTCCTACACCCTGCGGTGGCATGGAGAGTTGAGGAACAGCTCAGTGCAGACACCAACTCTGACACGTCGATTTGACTTTCATAACCCGCAAGGGACTCACAGTTCCTGATGCAATCAAAGTCTTTCAGTTCTCTTCTGCATTATTCCTTTAATTTTTCTGTCATCTTATTTATTTTTCACTGCAGTAGCTTCTCTTTTATACTTAGATAAAAGAAGCTTATTAAAGTAGTTTGTTAAAATGGTTCATTTAGCTTTTTCCATCTCTCTACATCTATATGAATTAAAGTAATTTATTAATTGCTTTAATTAAGGTTATAATTCTCTTTTATTTCCTGCCAGAAAGATGAAAGCTTTAATAAGCTACTGGTATTTTTAGGTAGGTTCTTTAAAGTTTTTCAAGTCAAATCTGTAAATGCTACTGCTGGTGGAAGAGACAGCTGCTTCAACAGAGACATTGCTTGCTCACTGAATACTGGATCAACTTCTTAGTCTCAAAATCTCAGCAATTTTGTCTGTGTCTTCCAAAAAAAAAAAAAGTACTTAGAAGAGTCTAGGAAAGTAGGTCCTTGTAATTTGCACTAATCCCATTGGCACTAATTTGCATTTAGTCCCATTGGCTCCTAAGTCTCTTTGGAAATTAGACTAGAGCTTAGAAGGACCGTTGGGTGCTTCTGAACATGTCTTCCTCATCTGACAAACGGGTTGTTTCAAGAGAGACGTGGCCCGACGCCTCCTTCAAGCCATCATTTTGCTGAAGTGCTGAGGGGTAGAACCAGCCGGTCTGCAAAGCACAAAGACTTACATCTGTGGACTGGTCTCCGGCATAGTGCCATATATCATCGATCATGCTGGTGAGGAGGTTGAGGCTGGAAGGGATGTTGTGCGGGAGCAACAGGATGCTCAGAGCCTGCAAAGGAAACACACGGATAAATCAGAGAGTCAAAAAGAGACGGACATAGCACTAAAGGAGACCAACAATGCTCTGTTATCATCTTCCTGTTGCTGCTGACTTGCCTCCAGCTCCCAGTCACAAGTCCTCCCAGCTCTTTCTTCCAGCTAGCATTGGTCTTTCCAAGCAGCAGGATTTGCGGGGAATGGACAGCGTGGCAGCCAAGCTCAGGCCTCGGCCTGTGCTGGACCCCAAAGCTCCCCACTCAGCTCAGACGCCGCTGTGTCGTCTCTCCCGAGCCACCTCTCCAGGCACAGAAACGCAGCACAGTCTGAGCTGACTCACACTTGTGCTGTGCCCCTATGGGCAGGGAGTCAACTCTCTCATTTCTCTGAATCTGACTTTAAACTCAAAGCAGCTACCAAGGGCAGAACAGCCAGCCATAATGGCCCTACTGGGATCCTGCAGCCTTTGAACGTGATAACACAATGCCAGGAGAGTCACAAACCACCCACATCCTTCACAAGGCAAGTTATACTAATCTGGAAGAAAAAATGAATCCTGCCTTTTCTCCCTGCCGAGAGGAGGGATTGTTACCGAGGCCACAATTCAATTCCCTCCCCACCCTGGGAAGAAAGGCTTGAGACTTAAATCTGAATTTTGAAGCATGGAGCCCTCGCAGCTCACAGATCTATCCTCAGGTCACCAAGAGTTTGTCATTCGCACACCAGGTAGGCAGTTTCTTTCAACAAAGCAGTAGTTGTGCGTTTCCAGGTGCAGACAGAACAACGCTGCAAGGAACCTGACTTCCAGTGACACTGCAAATAAATAGGACTGAGCAGAGACACAGGTTACCCCTGGGGATCCCAGACGGGTGGAGTGAACGATGGAGAGGTTTGCCTTTCCAGAACTGCAAGAAATAGTTGTTCTAAGGACACCTTTAACTGCCTCCTTCCAAGGGTGTTCTCCTCTTGAAGGGTATGAATCATTTGAAACCAGAGAAGGGTTTCGTTTGCAACCTTGAAGTACTCTGGTGGAGAGACTATGTTGAAGGCCACAGGGCGTTTAAAATACACACACACACACAAAAAAAGAAACAATCTCAATATTCCTTTTATACCTGGGGCCATTTCTCAATATATGGAATCAGCATCCTCAGTCTGACTTCCACAGCATCTCTCAGGAATTGATCTGTAGGCTTCTTCCTGGGTAAGGAAAAAAAAAAAAACAAGTAAGAAGACATCCAAGTTAAACTCAATTCTGAACTTGACAGATTGATCTCTTGCCTGCCTCAGCAATACATATGCAAAGTATTACGTATCCTTCGTGCCTCTGGTCCAACTCTGTATCTGGGAAGATGGTTTTATTTGGGCCAACTATATTTTTTAGTTAAAGTGTCTGTGTCCCAGGTGGCATCTCTGTCTATCCAGTCCCCAAAGTCTGCCAAGGAAGGTGTCTTTTCATACCCAGTACTTACTCTGCTTCGCCCAACTGCACTAGTTTTTGTTCCTGCTCCAGCAGCTCAGACAGCTTGGTGTTGCACTGAGACACAAAGTGCAGGATCAGTTCACTGCCATCACTGTGAAACATCCCCGCGGCAGCAACAGAGAGACCCAGGGTCTGCAGGGAAGAAGGGAGAAGCACAGACCGGGTCACACACTGCTAAGCAGGATCCAGCTAGGAAAAATGTTATATTTATTTCGTGAACAAAGTTATATGAATTTAAACAAAGCAACACTGCATTAAAAAGCTCATCCTGTACATGTTTTCTTCTCTTTAGGATCACTACTCTACATTGTGCCTTACTGTAACTCCGAGAGGGTTATCCTGTGGTAGCTGGGACACATTCCTGCCCGCTACCATTTGCTGACTAGGGTGCATTGCCCAAGAGTATGTGGGGGAAGCATGCAGGCCTGGCTGTCTTTGGACTTCAGCTCCATCCAGTTTTCAACTGGTTCGTTGCTTCTCTCCCCACATACCTTGGCTCCCTCTGCAATGGCTTCTGCACTCCAGCCATGTTCAGGCACAAACTCCAGCGCTGCTGTGAGGATTCGATGCTGCAGCTGCTCCTCGCTCTCATAGTCCTCAGACTCCTGGCCGCCCTGGCCAGTGTAACTATGAGAAGGTTACAGTGAGGGGAATGTCACCAGCAAACATCAGCAACCTGGACTCTGCCACTCGCTCGCTGCCACCGCCACGTGCAGGCACGCTTTGAGATCTGCTTAGTACAAATCTCGCCTCCTCCTGTAAAATCCTTCCCGTTCCTTTCCGGAAAAAGGATTCTTAATGCACCTTTGCCACGAGAGGAGAAGAGAAAAATAAGGGAGGGCTCAATCTAGGTGCCTGCCTGGAGACCAGTCAGCCTCGGATTCCCCCTCTTTTAACGAAAAGCTAAACTGTAAGCTTTTTCAATGGGGGCTTTATAGTTATAGGCAGATGGACAACATATTGTCCATATTTTGTGTAGATTTACACAAAAATCCAGAAGCGAAGGCTTGCGCTTTGCAGACCGGAGAGGTTCCCTCTTGAAAACAAGTCCCATCCTGTCTCCACGGCAGACAGTGGAATTTGCACTGTCACAGCAAACCAGCTCGCCAGCTGCTGCAGTCTGAGGCTCCATTAACTCTGGATCTCGTTGTCTCCAAGTTTCAGATGCGAGTGTCAGGAAAGCAAAGCCTTCTGATCCTGCCATCAGGAGGACAGTGCTAGAAATAGCTAGTGAGTTACCTGGGGCGAGGGCCCTGAGGTCCCTGTTCAGGCTGGTGATCGGCTGGATGTGAATCGGACTGCTGCTGAGAGGAAGATGCCAACGGCTCCTTCTTCTCCTCATCGGAGACTCTCCTCAGCACGGCTGAGGCCTGGAAAGGACGCTGCGGTGGGGAGAGCTGGCACCTGACCACTAAAAGGGAAACCAAGAGTCAGATGTCACCTCCCAACAAGAGGAAGTACAGAAAATTAAGGTGAAGAAGAGAGTTGCAGTAAACACAGCTGAAAAATAACAGAAATTTGTAGAGATAGTCTTTTTTTACACTTCTGAGAAGCGCCTCTCTCAGCCAAGCTCACGTTCACTTCATGAAAATAAAGTGAAAATGTTTTGTGAGGAAAAGAACCGCGCAGATGGCACGCATCGCAAACAGAAAGGAGTTTCCCAGTCCTGCACTGGCAACACAAACACGCAGTCAGTCCCCTGCAGCACGCCTGCTCTCCTTTCCAGTCCCTGGGGAAGGGGTTAGAGGGAGGTGCTGACCCCTGAGCTCAGGGCAAGAGGCAAGTAATACTCCGGAGAGCGAGCAGTCTCAGCAGATACAACACGCTGATCACGGCGTGTGTTTCTCAGATGACTCAAAGGCAACACAGCTTTCCATTAGGGCTACTTTGTGAGAATTTTTAATTTAACTGCAGCAACATTTGGGGACTTTTTTAATAAGCTGGGGTTACACGGCCCACACTTTAAACCCCACCACCACCAAACACCATCCCCAACCACAGAGCCCCTCCTGTTCCCTCGCACGCCATGCGGGGCAGTTTCAGGGCCAAGAAGGTGTGAGGGGCTGGCCGGGCACAGGCCCGCTGTCTCCTCACACCA